GTCCGTCCTCCCTGGACTGACCTATCCCCTCCCTACCTCCCCACCTACACTCACCTTTACTGGCTCCATCCCCGCCTCTTCGACCTGTCTGTTTCCTCGCCATCTATCTTCTCCTCTATCCATCTTCTATCCACCTACCTATCTGCCTACCTATTTCAGAACCCCCCTTCCCCTCCCCCATTCCTGAAGACGGGTCTGGGCCCGAAACGTCAGCCTTCCTGCTCCTCTGATGCTGCTTGGCCTGCTGTGTTCATCCAGCTCCACACCTTGTTGTATCAGAGAAAAGTCGACCCGCCTTCTGCTCGTCAAACCCAGGTGTGGAAACGGCCCTCGAATGATTGGCATGAGATTATACCAATTGGACACCGCACGTCCCTGGCATAAGCCAACCAGAACCAGGAATGTGCTGAGGAGGCGGGGAGATAACTTGATTGACGGAAATACAGACCAATATGTTACCGACATGCGGAGGGGTCCGTCCCTTGGAGGCGCGGGTGTGGGTGTGCGTGTGAGTGATTGACAACATCCTAGACCACTTGGAACGGTGGGTTGGTGTCTTCCGTCCAATGCGGGTGAACGACATTGATGGACAGTCAGCCGAACGCCCGATTGTGCGGCAAACAAGCCCTGATTGACAGCAACACGAATCAATGGTCGGACGGGACGTGGAGAGTGTGGACCTAACGGCGTAGGCGGTAGAACTAATTGACGGCTAGTAATCCAATGGGTTGACGAAGTGTGGAAGGCTCCAGCCTATTAGGGCCGTGTTCGTACTGACCGACAGCGCGATGATCCAATGGGACGGAGGGTAGCTGTGGGTGCCGGCCTCCTGTGGGCGGGCCCGTGACCGGCGGAGCGGTGGACGGCTCGGGCGGAAATTTGAACGGAATCTCAATGAGTGCCACCGGCGGCTCCGAGACATGGAGAAGATGATCGTCGGCTTCCTCCTCTTCATGTCCCCGGCTTTCCCCGTCGGGCCGTCGCGGATGGAGCTGCAAGCCGAGGTATGGCCCGGGAGGTGACGCGCCGGCCGGGCATCGCGTTCCAGGAAAGTCCGAGGCTTCAGCCACGGTGCTAGGCCGCGGTTGGTGCCAGGAGCAGGATGGTTACGGGTACGGATTGGGGTAAAGGTAGGGTATGGGGAGGAAAAAAAAAATCAAAGGCTTCGAGATGTCCTTATCCTCCCCTCTGCCCAAAGTTGCCCCATCCCCGTGTTAAAGCCTGTTTGTTGTTTGGGAAGGTGGGGGGGAACAGTAAACAGCAGCAATTTAACCTTATCTGAAGGTTGATGCTACAAAGTTATTTTTAAAAATGCGACCTGAAAGTTGACACTTTCAAAATCATCACTGCCATTTCTATAGCACCTTTCAGCCTAGTCAAACGTTCTGAAATGTACAAGTTTCTGTGGGGTGGATGTTGAGAACATGTTCCCACTAGTGAGGGGATTTCGATTCAGGTGGCATAGAGTAGGGGGACGCTCATGTAAAACTGAGTTTGAAAGAACTTTTTCTTCTGTAAGGGGGTGAATCTATGGATTTCTCTACCGCAGAACGTTGTGGAAACTAGATCACTGAAAGTACTTAAAGAAGAGTTGGGTATGTATGTATGTATGTAGGTAGGTAGGTAGGTAGGTTTTTGAAATATCAAAGAGTTGAGAGTTATGAGGGGTTGGCACAAAAGCTGAGGCCTGGGCAGATCAGATAGAGTCATGATCTTATAGAATGGTGGGGCAGGCTTGAGGGACTGAATAGCCTTCTCCTGCTGTTTATTATGTTCTCACCCAAGGACTTCACAGGAGTCATAGAGCTGTACAGCAATGGAAACAGACCCTTCAGTCCAAATCATCTATGCTGACCAAATATCCTAAATTAATCTAGTCCCATTTGCCAGCATTTGGCCCATATCCCTTGAAACCCTTCCCATTCATATACCCAGCCAGATGCCTTTTAAATGTTGTAATTGTACCAGCCTCCACCGCTTCCTCTGGCAGCTCACTCCGTACACATGCTGCCTTCTGCATGATAAAGTTGTCCCTTAGGTCCCTTTTAAATCTTTCCTCTCTCACCTTATACCTATGCCCTCTAGTTTTGGACTACCCGACACTGGGGAAAAGACCTTGGTTATTCACCCTATCCATGCCCCTCATGATTTTATAAACCTCTACAAGGTCACCCCCCTCTCCCAACCTCTGACACTCCAGGGAACATTGCCACAGACTATTGGGATGAAACTTTGACACAATAAACACCACTAAGCCTCATAGAATGACCTTAGGATAAATGACGCAAGAAGCTGGACTAAAGAGAAAGATCTTAGAGAGTGACTATAATGAAGAGAACATTGGAGAAATTTAAGAGGGGTGAAAACTTTGCTAGCTGTGGAATAATTAAAGCTGGGGACAGGCAAGAGGCCAGAAAGAGGGGAATGTGGATCACAATCCTTTTAAGGTTTGGGAGACTAATTCACGAGCCTGCAAAGCAAGCATAACAAGTTCCTTTATTAGTTGTGGCAGGGTACAAAAACAAGGAAGTGTTTTTTTTTGATCAGTGAATCTTACAAAATATCCAAGCCCAGTAGACCCAAGGTGACTGATACTAAAGGACTGATTTACAAAAATAAAGCAGCTTTCTGTTTGCAAGAATACGAAAGTTAGAAAGTTGTACTAAACCTCAATGACATCGTTTTAACGTTAGCCAGAACTATAGTGGTCAATTCTTGACACCACACTGGTGCCACATCTTGCAGTTGTGGGGAAACACTAACAGCTAGGATTGTTATCTCTGAGAACAGGTTAAAGGGAGGTTTGAGATACTACAAGTTGTGTGGGGACTTTAATGAGGATGAATAGCAAGAAACTGTCTACTGGCAAGAGGATCAGTACAATCCAACACGGATTGAAGATAATTGGTGAAGAAACCAGCCGTGAGATTTGGAGAAACTACTTACAAAGTCATTTTGTGATCTGAAATCCGACTTGCTTCCAAAGGAGATATAAAGAATATGTACTTGAAAAGGAAATAATTGAGGGGTTAACTTATTGAATAGCTATTTCAAGTATAAAGCTGGTAAAATGGGTTGAAAGGCCTCCTCTGTGCTGTCATGCATGTCTGGGTTGTGGCTGTATTAAATTAGATTTGTCAGAAACATCACTTGGTCCTTTTATGTTACTTGTAGTGTGATAGGATGTTGTCGGTTAAGTGTTACAGGAGTAAGTGGGCCATCTATAGAATTGCAGTCATGGGGATTGTGTAATAATTTCTTTATTCACATTTATTTTGAGTGTATATATGTCTGTATAATGTTTAGGTGTGCGTTATTTAAAAGAAAGCCATGAAATAATTTATTGTCATACATCTTTGAAAGAAAGTTGAAATTGACTTTTTCCGGCTTTCATTTTTGAGTGTTGAAAGCAAATCGCCTGTTCAAAAAGCTCAGTTTCTGCCTCAGTGAGTTTTGAAATTTGACATTTCTTTAACCTTAAGTTGAAGCACGTCCCAACTGAGAGCTGTTCCTACTCAGTACTGCGTGCATGTACTGGTATAAATGTGCCCTCAGAACAACATAGGTTTTTGACTTCAGCATTTCTGTAAACTTCCATGGTGTCAGGACAGTTTACAAATGCTTGGCTGGGAGCCAAACCCTTTTGAAGTATATTTCCACTTACTTTTGCGTAATCGAATTGCAGAGCTTACTAAACTGCTCCAAGTGTCTCTAATTTATGTACATAAGCAATGACTTCAGTGTCGTCCACACCCAATGTCCATTTTTATATGCTTGACCTGTCATTTAGACTTGCCTCAGTGTAAACGTTTCCCATCAATGTGCTGGCTTGAAATGAGTGTTATGGACTATTGCACTTGAATCACATTTATAAAATTCTCTGTGAAAAATAAAAATCTTTACCATTTGAATTCAGTGTTATTTTTTAATCAATCAGCAATTGTTCTAGAGTAATATAGATTGGTGTTGTGTCGGATTGTATGAGAGCATGAAGGCTTTGGTGTTCCCAGGCACATACTGTGTTTTCCGTTCTGCACAGTGGATGGAGATGGCAGGTTGCTGCTGAACGAGGCTTATGGATTGATATGGACACTGTACACTGCCGACCCAGTGTAACAGTGGTGGAGAATGTAAATATTTAAGGTGGTAGTTGGAGTGCTCTTCAAGCCAATGGTGTTATCTTCAATGATGTTCAGCTTTTTGGGTATTGCTGGAGCTTTACTCATCAAGGACAGTGAACAGTATTCCAGTAAACTTGTGCAGATGGTGAATACGCTTTGGGGAGTGAGGAGTTACTCACCACAAAATCCCCTGCCTCTGATCTGCTCCAGTGAGCACTGTTTTTAAGTGCAGAGGCTACAGATTGAGTCTGAATCTGAGATGGCTGATAAGTCCAATCCATAATCAAAGCAGAGTGGAAGCAAGTCATCGTTTGGTCCTGAGAGAAAAGGAGCAGAAAAGGCTGATATTCTCTGGAATCTAAAAGAATGAGAGAAGATGGAGTATCATACGTTTCAGTACAAAGGGGACCTTGTTGGCGTGATGCTTAGAGCCTGTTCCTCTTGGTTGGAAGTATCATAGTTTTTGCATAAAACAGCAGCTATTTTGGAGTTGGATGAGAATTTCTTCATTTGCACGGTTTGAATTTCTGGAATTCTCTCGACGGGTGGCTGTTTGGTCAATGAATATATGCTAGACTGAGGCAGCTAAATCTTTTGAATGCTAAGGGAAGCAAGGGATTGGAGATCAGGAGGAGTTCAGTTATACTCTAATGAAATGGAACAGCAGGCTCAGTGTGACCTACTCTTGCTCATATTCCTTACATGATTGAAAACACGGATGATGGTGGAGGGACTGCAGTTGATCTTGGCACTCCTGAGCGGGGGTGAAGAACTCTCATTTTAGTTCCTATTGAGCTAGCCATGCTGGAAGTGCTTTTGCGTGGTTTCTGGCTTTGGTCTAAAGTGCCTTTTAGGTGGTAACAATGTCCTGATCAGTTCTGATGCATCATCTTGTTAAAATATTGTGTGTCTGCTCCCTTTTGTAAGGTACCAGATGACCATGTGGCTGCAGAGTTGTGTGATTTCTAAAGGAGAGCATGGTAGCAAATTGAAGAGGAAAAAAGAAAGAGGAAAGCAAAAGGTCTCACTCCGAAAACAAAATGAGTAAACAGTGGGATGATATTGCAGCAAGTCATTCACCTTCCCAAGATCAGACAAGTTAAAAATAGCATTGGACGGTGGTGACTTAGAAGTAATTCAATCATGGTTCTAATGATTAGTGAACATCAGCAGACCCTAGAGATCAAATTACTGCTACGAACTTGCCATGGTTCACTTAAATTTAGTCGAAGTTCTGACTTTGAACACGGCAAACTGCTGAGCCCAACCACAATGGAAGTGTTCCAGGTACAATTAACCAGCCCTTTTGATTTCTGACAATTGACAAGTAGCTGACGTGCTGTTTAATAAAATAAAAAGGATGTTTAGATCAGATAGAGAAGAACCGCTGTTGGATGTGCAATTGTCAAAATACACGTCTGTACAACTTTGTCCAGTGCACTGCATGCTGAAATTTTCCTTCACCTTTTTTTTAAACAAAAACAGCATCTTTGCCACCTGGAGAAATGGATATATTCACCTTTGATCTTTTTTGAGTTCTTGTACAGTCAGGCAAGTTACTAACAAAACATCAGAAGTGTTTTCTTTTCAATATAAGCTCAAAGATCAGAAACGTGAGGCTTTGTCCCTTCCTTTCATTCTCACATTGATCAAATGTTTAGGAATTGTGACTTCCAAGTAACCTTGAGACGAGTAACTGAATGTAGAGGGATCCATTTTGTGCTGTACAGTTGTCATGAAACCATTTTCTTTCATCATTTCGTAGTGTTAGTTAGGTGCTGTTTGAATATTCCAGCTGCCACTCCTCCTCTAAGTCCTCCGATTTTTTTTTTTTTTTCTTTTTTTTTTAATGACTGTTCTGCATAGTCTGAATATTTTCAATTTCCTGCTTATATTCTGGTACACCAGCCAGTTTCTTAGCTTTCAACATAAGTGCTGGAAAAGCTCAGCAGGTCTGGCAGCATCTGCGAAGAAAAGATCATAGTTAACATTTTGGGTCCAGCGACTCTCCCTCGGAACTTGAGAAAGGGTCACCTGACCCAAAACATTAACTCTGATTTTTGTCCTCCTGGATCCTGCCAGACCTCCTGAGCTTTTCCAGCAACTTCTGTTTTTGGTCCTGTTTTATAGCATCTGCAGTTCTTTTGGTTTTTCTGTGCTTTCAAATATGTTTTTCAAGTTGATACAGTTCCTGTTGGTGTACCGGTGTCAAAATTGGTTCAACTTGCCTGCGAGCAAGTGCAATTTGCAGACAGCCAATGGTGATCAATGAATTCTGGAGCCTGCTGCTAGTGTAATATCGCACAGCAGAAAATGTTCCAGGAACTTTTTATTAATATGACTTGCACTTAAAATTCCACAAACTTTTGCACCAGTTATGTCAATTTTGCATATACCAAGTTGAAAAATAACAAGGTGACTAAGTGGCGATCTCTTGAGTTTTCAAATAGGCGTTTTTCTTGTTAACAGAACCGACAGGCTGACTGCCACACAGGCATTTATAACAAAAGGCCTTGCATTTAAAGAGCACCTTTTTTTTTGGCTGGAAAATGTCTCAAGATCCAAGATATTAGATGGTGCAAGTAAAGACAAAAGTTGACATCAAAGCACGCAATTATAGAGCCAATGGTGGTTGAATGAAGGACCTGTGGTTTAAAGTCAAAAGCATTGCAGGTGAAAGCAGCATGGATCAAGTGATGAGGTGAAGCACAGCAAAGGTTGAGGAAGTAGTGGTTTGCTTTGTGATAGCAAAGATCAAGGTTTGCAAAGTCAGTGTGAAATAGAATGCAAGATAATAAAAGCAAAACGCTGTGGACGCTGGAAATCTGAAATAAAGCCCGAAAATGCTGGAGAAACACAGTAGAGGTTTACTAAAAGAAAGAATAGTTAGAGATGGGGCAATAGTTTACAAAGATAGAGGATCTATGACGTAAAAATGAAGAAAAATAAACAATGGTTTCCTATATCAACTGATGTAGAAGTCAGCAAAAGATATTGGTTGGTTGATTTTTGTAGAAGCGAAGAAATGGGTTGTATGGGAAGCTGAGCTCGGAGGTATGAGAGAATGCAGAATTGGAAGAAGAGTAAAATCAGAGCTTGAGACTTTGAGGAAGGGAAGGATGTGACAGAGGCAAATGACCACTCTTCATCTTCGTGACAAGTCCACAAGCAGCTCACGATTGAAGGTAAGTGTACAGGGAATGTCAGGTTTATCAAGAGTGAAGCAGTGAGAAATTGGGCAGAAGATTGTGCTTTATCAACGGACACTCATTTGTTTATATGCTGCAGTCTCTGCCCATGGTTATAATAGAAAGAGGACACTGGTGGTTCCAGAGGAATTACTTTGCTTTTGAGGAGTGCGTTACCTGTAGGCCATCAAATACACTGGTGGGAGTTTAGTTAAGTTGACCAACTGAGGTCTAAAGGATACAGAATAGAGTTCAAAAGTGTGTTAGAGAGTTGTTGAAACCAGGCCAAGTACAGAGTGAAGTACATTTGGAAGAGAAATGAAAGCACTGATGACAGAAGACAATGGGAAGTGAAGACAAATAAGAATGGGGGTAGGGTGGGAGTCAGGCAAGATGACAAGGCCGTGAATCTCTGGAGTGCTTCAAAAGAGGGAGAAGGTAAATGGGAATTGGTGTGCGCTTGGTGTGATGGTCTGCAAGAGAAAGGATTGGACATTTAGGATTGCTGTTCATGAGGCAGAAAAGAGTATCTTGATGTGCTTGTGAAAATGCTGAAAACAATTTTTTTTCCTGCCATTTCACATGAAAGTAACCACGAATGTCTAGGTTACAATGTGCTTGAATGGCTTCTTCCATAGGGATCTGACACATATTGATGGTATATGGAACTCTTAAACAAAGAAATTCAGTCTGTTTGCAATTTGCAACAAGGACAGGCCGTTCAAACCATTCCTTTGTTGTACTGAAATTACTGTTTCTTGACACTTTGGAATTTTTTGCTCCCTCCATTTATTCAAAGGTGTAAGGCATGTTTCATTTGGATTCAATTCTTTTTTAAATTCTGGCCTCTCAAAATCTTTTGAGTATTTCCAACTTTAAAAGTTCATTATCGTGATTAAAATGAGCCCGATATAACACCTTTTCATTGGCAACCAATTTTCATATTTTACAACCTTTTCTATCATATCATTGATTGTACTTGTGGGCTGTTCTTACTCTTTCTCATCTTTTCAGGCTAAAGAATTATGTTTTGGAGTGAACAACGAGCCTTACTGGTGTGAGACAGGATACTGCTGTGGGGAGACGGAGTGCTGCACCTATTATTACGAACTATGGTGTAAGTTTTTAATATAGGCACAGAAATCTGTTTCAGGATTGTGTTTCTCAAAGTCTTTGGTGCAAGTGGAAGTTTCCTTGTGGCCTGGAATAGGACTTGTGAATGATATGGCAGATTCATGCAACTTCATTTGTCGCAATTGGCATCAGTTTGCTTTCTCTCACTCAGTGCTGTTGATGGACCCAATTATCTTACCTTACAGCTGGCTGTTCTCCATGTTACACACTTTCCTACGTGCAGAAGAGGATGCAGTAGTGCAGACATTGAAGAGCTGGAGAGTAGTCCACGTGAAACTTGAAAATCTGGTCAGGGTATTGAACTACTTGCTATCCAATACAGGAATCCCTAAAGACAGTGTGTTAGAACAAGCACCATCTGCATAATCCGGAGCTAATTGCAAGTGTTTAAAATAATATCACATTTTCCGGAGAAGAGCCAGGATGTTTTTGATTGCAGGGAGACTGCTGGCCAAGGTATCAAGAGCTTTCTGCTGTTCTTTGGACAATGCTATAGAATCTTTGACACCCAACTAAGACAATAGATGAAGCCTTATTTTCCCACCTCCAGCCACCCAATTATACTGAAACCCATTTGGCAACACTGACCTGCCCTCAAAATGCCACTGCTCTCAATTCTGGGTGAGGTGCTCCAACAGACTATCTGAAAGAAGGTGATTCTGTATCCTGCAGCCTCTATACAGATGACAAAAGCATTAATGCATTTATATGCCACTATATGTTTGATTTATTTAATTGGCTGTAGTTACAAGGTGTGAAATGAAAACTAATGATTTGAGCCTTGTTCATTAAATGACTTGCCAAGATACATTTTGCCTGTATTGTATTAGCTCATCCAAGTATAACACAATTCTGAGTCACTCTTCGTTTTGCTTGACCGTGGCAGGGTTCTGGCTGGTCTGGACTATCATTATTATGCTTAGTTGTTGTTGTGCGTATCGACACCGACGTGTAAAACTACGGTTGCAACAGGAGCAACGTCAGAGGGAAATCAGCTTGATGGCCTACCAGGGCGCTAGTACCTACACAACACAGCCACTGGATTTAAGTGAGTAAGCCTTGTATGTGAGACCTTTGCAAGGGGGATTGCGCAGTAACTATTGTTAAATCTTTATTTTATTCTGTGAAATCTATTTTATTCTGTAAAACAGAAAATGACTGCCACAGCTCTCCTGTGCCTTTACCCTTTGCACATAGGGGCATTGCATTCAGTCCATTATACACAGCATTCATTTTCTCCTCTGCTTTTCACTCTGGCATCTTCTGCTTATCTGCTCAAATATTTATTTTGGTCATATTATATCTTTTATGTACTGATTTCTTCCATTCTCTAGCAATCTCCAGCACTACTTCATTTGTCATTCTATCACTAAGATGTGGAGAACATCCTTCTAAATGTCTACAGCTTATCAATAATCCCTTTGTTTGCTGGTCATGTAAGCTAGATAATAAAATGTAGCTCCTCACTCTTCTCTTGAGATTCAGATTTAGTTCCTTCATTCTGGCAAAGCTTGTCATGCGACAGGTCCATTTAAAAGTCAAAGCAGACTCATGACTTGATGTATCTCCTTTCTCATGTTCCATTTCCAGTTCTGATAAAGTTATGCAGTTGAAAAAGGTGATGTACAGTTCAGGACAGTTGTGGAAATAATTCACGACTGTGTTCCCTTTTGGCATCTGCTTCATGTTGATGAGCACAGACACGATTAGGAGCTCACCCTGTGTGGTACGCAGCATATGCATCTTTTGTTTAACGAGCAAAAAAATCCTGTTATTCACGTTCAGTGGGCTAATTGTTTTTGTTTTTCCACCCCTCCTGCCAGGATTCTGGACAAACTGTAAGCTCCCAGATTACGAGGAAGTGGCAGGGCACCCACCAACACCCCCACCTCCTTATACTGAACTACAGCAGCAGAATGCACAGACCTCTACCCATGAAAATGTGCTTGTCGAGAGCCAGCCTGCTTTACAGGAGTCTGTAAACTCACTTGCATCAGAGGCAGCAACACAAGCAGCAGAATCTAACTCATCCACTCATGAACAGGAGGATAACCAGGTGTCTGATGACCCCACAGAGGTATCGCCCACTTATCCAGCTGACAGAGAAAATGGTGACATTACTCAAGCGGAGGAATCTGCTGCACTCTCGGCCTCCGATTTTAAAATGTTGGATACGGATTCTGACCTATGCGATCAAGGGGAAGGGAAGGAAGAAAGCTCAAGGCATAGGCGGATCACAGGAGACTCTGGCATTGAGGTGTGCGTGTGCCAGTTGGATGAGGACTCTTACCATGAAGAAGTGGGCTTGATGGGTGGTGGTAGCGCCTCTGAATGTTGCGAGTCCCCGTCGTCTTGTAGCTCTCACCTTCACACAGAGCAGCTCTCCAAGCAGGCTGCTAATACGCACCCTCAACTGCATACTGCTAAAGAACAAGAGGAGGATGGTGACATTGTGTAGCATGTGCCACTGCTCCTGGTACGCAAGAGTGAAACACACAGATGGTGCAATCCATGACTGCTGACTGTTCAGCATTAATTCTGGACTTATCCACAACGTTTTCCATAAGGTGCCTGAAATACATCAGGTGTAAGATGCAGGTTGTAGTCTATAGATGTAGTAGTTTGGATCTGTCCAGGGTTTCACAATCAGAGTTGCCTACTCAAGCCAGATTTTCTTCTAGCCTTCTCTAAAAATTGACTGTAGCACTATATACTGCTTTGGTAATTTTCAAGTCTTTGTCTTCAGAACCTCTTGTATTGAAAACATTTGACTTTCTTTTTTAAAAAAGGGAGTGGGAAACAAAGTTTTTCCAAAAAGAAACCATCTCCTGAGAATATGCCATTTTGAGTAGGACAGTATGGGCCTGTGGTCCAGCCCTCCATCAGTACTGTTGTGCAGGTTGCTTTAGTTAATGGCATCACTCTTTTTACCTCCTCTTGGTCATATGCCACATATACTTGGAGCTCCTCACAGAAAGGCCGGCCAAGGATTAACAGATCAGCATGTGGTGACTCTATGCCTGTGGTGCAGCACATGGACTCATTACTGCCACATGCCTCCAGGGCATACTCTTCACTTTGTTAATTTATTAGCAGTGGACCTGTTGGATGCAACGTGTTGAGATGGGCGTTTAGTTTTCACATGTTATGTTGTCTAAACTGCACTAATGCATCAAATATTTCTAAATACAAGTTTACTTTTTTTAAAGTTTAATTTAGATTTGGGCCTACCAACTATTATTTCTGTGGTACTGTTGGTAGAAGTTTAACTGAAAAACTTTTTACCAATGAATGTTTGTGTACAAGTGAAATACAAAGCCTTTATATTCATGTTAAATATAGCACCCACAGCAAAAAAAACCAAACCCAAAGGCATTCACTTATAGGATACTAATACTGTTTGTACAAGAAAATAGATAATGTGAGATGTGCAGTTTTTCTGCCCAGTTGAAATAAGCTTGCAGTTCTGAAGGGTCACTGGATTCGAAATGTTTTCTCTCCACAGATGCTGTCAGACCGCTGAGTTTATCTAACACATTCTGTTGTTGTAATGCTTGGGCAATGGTTAGTGCATTTTCAGCTGTAGGGGAAAATACTGCTAGGTACAGGACTAATACATATTGGTGCCAAGTTTAAGTGTGTTGGGTTAAACATGTTGCTCTTCTCCTCTTGTTGACTGGACAATCTATATTTCTGCAGTTCACTTTAAAGCTACGTGTTGAGTACAGTGTTGTACAATAATATACAACCTTAAGTACCTCTAATTAATCAGCTTCAGTGTCAAGGAAAAGACAATAATTCTAGAGTCAGCTATTGCATATGAGCAAGGAAGAAAATAGTTTTGTAACAGAAATGCTGCAGCACACTGGGGGTGAAATTGGTGTATAGGACTGTCTAGTGGCTGTTGTTCAACAACCATCCTTATTTGTTTTGCTAGACCTATATTCCAAACACTCTCCAAAACCATGGAGGAAAGCATCATGAGCCACAATAAAACTGCTGCTAAAAATCACTACAAAAAAACTCGAGGGAGCTAGATTAAAAATTAAGCAAGGAGTCAAGAAATGTATTCTGAATTGGACTGAAACTGGAGTCAAATGGTTCTGCGTTTCATAAAACTTTGGGTGAGCATGAAGGAAAAATGTACAACCAGTGCCTTGCAAAGAACGGGACTGAGCAGGTGATTTTTTTTTAAAAAAGACATTTTTGCAAGGTACAAGTAGTGCAAATGTCTGTTGATTAAAGTGGAATGTGAGGTGTTGCATTACATGCTTTCAATGTGAAATCTGAACTCATTGAATGATAGTCTGGATAATTTAGGTAGAATACTCACCACATCAGGCCACCGTCATAGATTCAGAGAGTGTTTATTACAAACACTTGAGAATGAAAGTCGGCCACACTTAATCCTCTTAGTATCAATTTTGAGTGAGAACAAAGAATTAAAGACTTGTGCTCCGCTTTACAGAAGCAAATGTCACAAGCCACAATATTGTGAAAGGAAAGAGCAGCTCCCAAAAAAAAAACCTTCAAGTGAACAAATAGAAATAGAGCAACTAGAGAGTTTTGTATACTTTCCCTAACATCAGATAAAGTTAGGCTTATGATAACAACTGTTAAAAACCTTTACTTACAATGTACAAAGAGGTTTGTGGCAAAACCAAGCTGATGGTAAGCAAAATATTTAAAATTCCAGTATGAAACTCCCCCTTCAACCACAAAGCCAAGTAGTGATGACTGAAGGCCTTTGAATTCTGATATTATAGATATGTGGGAAAACAAGCAAGTAAGAAAGCCTGATCCTTGAATTAACACGAGAGAACTGAAAAGGTTGCTTCAGATGAGAAAGACAGCACATTCAATTAGAAATCGGAAAGAAAGTTGTTTTCTCCTCCAGTGACATGTAAAGAACAACGTGCTTAGATGTTGAGTTGGAAAAGAGAGTTTAGCTCCAGATTCCTCTTTGAATCTATGAGCAGATCTGGAAACATATGGAGCTGTTGGGACAGAAACCTAGAGGGCAAAGGAAAGAGAAAACAGATATTCAGATCCTCAGACAATGTCTTTTTAAGTAGATAATCAGGTATCCTTTTAAAATATTAGCTTGAGGAAGATTGTCATTTTTTTTGCAGTAGTGGAATGCAGTTATATTTTGATGCCTTTTTAATAAGAAACATTTTAATTTTGTAATACTTTGATAGACAATGCATGTTCAAAGGTTGATGAAATTTCATTGTACAATCTCAGTTACAGTGCTGAAGTCTTTCATATATAAAATAAAAACAAGTTATTTGCTGTTTTGGATTATGACTTTGTAGTTTTGAATCACAATTAGATTTGGTGGAACAGTGGACTTGTCTGATCCTGCAAACCAAAATCACTAAACTTCAAAATGTCATGCACAGGATAGAGACTAGGTTAGAGTTACAGATTTGGGGTGGGGAGGAATTTCCTGACAGTAATGTTAAGTGTGCATTCCTTAAACACAGGTTTACAAACAGCCTCGTTTCCTCGTGAAAGATTGAAATCATCATCTGTTAACTGTCTTTTAAGGACTATGTTATTTACATCAAATAGTCTAAAAGTCCAATATCCTTTGAAATCATTCCCATCTTCTTGTTCATTCCAAGGTTGCCTCCCCAAAACTGTGGCAAATGACACCTACAGGTAAATCCTACTTAACATTGGGACTGCACAGAATTACAAATTTCAGCACAAGAAATAGCCTATTGTCAAGCTGCAAGTTGGAATGAATTTTCATTCAATTTTCCTACTTCAATTTTTTTTCTTAGGTAAGTTAATAACACTCAAATGCTGAGACTGATCCTGCCACAACAGACCCTTGTACTGCTTCTTACATAGCTAATTTTGTGAGCCAGAAGATTTGCAAAGGGCTGTTCCTAGTCTTGTTGTCTAATTGATAAACATAACCAAGTATCAAAATGAGTTAGTTTCTGCAGCTCAGTGTGGCACATGGAGATGATGTTTAAATGTTGCTCAAATTCCCCTTAGTCAGGCGCAGAAGAGCTCAGTGAATCAGCAATAACTTAAAAAAGGAGCAGAATCCCTACAATGTAGAAGCAGGCCATTCAGCCCATCAAGTCCACAAAAACCTTCTGGAGCATCCCTGTAACCCTGCATTTCCCATGGCTAATCCACCTAGCCTGCACATCCCTGGACACACTGGGCAATTTAGCATGACCAGTCCACCTAACTTGTACATCTTTGGACTTGCATCTCAATCCTGTAAAGATATCAGTATCCTCCCTTGCTGAGCTCTACTTAAAACCTTTTACTTTTGGCATCCGTTGCTGGCGGCAAACACTCCAAGTGATGACATATCACAAGAGGAAGCAAATCAAAATTCAGAAAGCATTCTACTGATATAGCAGCGTAATGATTTCCCAAGCTCCCAGCACGAAGTAGTAACAAATTGACTGTATTCTGAAAATGAGAGAGCCACCATTAATGAAGCAATGAACATCAGGGATGCAGATGAAGTCAGAAATGGAGAAGCGCAGAGATCTTAGGAGAGGGAGGTAATTTGACAACCAGGATGGGCATTTCACTTTTGAGCATTAGCAGACATCAGATGTAGAAGGCAACACAAATACTTTGTGTATTTTGTTTGGTTAAATCATAAACATCAAATGGTTCAAAAATATATTGTGATGTCACAGTAACCCTGGTTGTCACAGTGTTTGTGACACCAAGAGTTGAAAATTGACCTAGATACTTGCACATTGCATTTTCTTTCCTAGCTCTATCCTGCACACTTGATTTGCTACTCTCTTTCTTTCCAAGTGTGTTGTCTACTGCAACAGAACAATTTAGAGCAACTTCGCAAGAAGTTCAATCTGAAAACTGAGAAACGTCACTGACTTTGGCACTCTGTCTCATTTTAAACCAGACCCCACTGGGGTCTGCTTCATAGAACAGGATGCTGGGCTGGGATGACTACGTGAGAAATTTGCTTGCGGATGGGTTATGCCAAGATGCAGCAGTATTTGCATGCTCATGTCCCAGGCTGTTGGCTGCCAAACAGCATGGACTGTTCGAGCAAATGAGCCCTCAGGAAATCAAAGCCATTGTCAGCAGTGATCGGAAGACCTTCCTCGTCAAAGGGCTCACTGTTGGTGGTAAGAAGTGCTTTGTCATCAGAGATAACTTTCACATGGATGGGGATTACACCATGGATATCAGGATGAAAAGATGGGACAGCAACCATCCTTGCCACAGCATAGCCATTGCTAGGTCCAACAAAGTCTTCATCATGATTATGGGTAAGAGAGGGGTCCATGGAGGGACGCTCAACAAAAAGGCATTTCAGATGGCAAACTATATTAGAAAGTCTGGCTGTTAGGAAATTACCATTAAAAGCTTACTGCAGCTGCTTCTGTGGATGGTCATCGTAACAACATTGCAACGTCGTTGCACTTCTCACGAGTGTCCCATTTTATTCATTGTTGGCCGGCACCTATTGGGAACTCTGCTACCCGAGTAGGAATTGCACTCTTTCAAATAAAAATTATTCATAGAAAAGAACGTTTGAAATCCATACATTTTATGCCCTTAAACTATAGAAATTGAGTTTGCAATGCTGAATACAACAGAAAAATTACTTGCATTTATCTCCAATAAACATAAAAAAGGTTTGAGGGTTCACCGTTTCACTTTGAAAGGGTGAAAAACTGTGATGCATTGCAAAAGACAAAATTACAACTATAGCTGCGAGATATATTTACAATACAGAATAGGAATTGCTAAAATGTGCAAATATCCAATTACAACTTGCCATGTAAATGAGGCATAGAAACAATCTAATTCTCCTCCAATCATACACAGAATATCGAGCTTCATGTTACACCAGTGACCAGTCCGTTGGAACCAAGAGTCAAATCCGTGACTGAAGGAAAAGGAGATCATGGCTCAGAATACATAGCACTTCTAAACATGAGCCAGTTGATGCATCTCCAAAAGCCAGATCACTGCCCAGTTGCCTTTCGCAAAACAATAGATAAGTTAACCAAGGCGATAAGTCATCCTGGCAAACAGCCAAAAAGAAAATCTCATCCTGATTCAGCATTAGTGACTGGCTGAGCTTTGATATTAACAGTAAATCCATTCCCAAATTTCACTCAGGGGCAGCAGCCAGCTTTTCTTTTTAATAAAAATGAATCTGAAGCATTTTTGCAAATGAGTTTGTTTCTCACTTTCAAACGGCTGAATGAGCAATTGTAATAGGCTACGCCATTGTGATTTATCACAGGGCTATTTATAAATGATATTTATGGCACAGCTTGATTATCTGTTTCTCAGTATGCTTAGCGCAGTTTGATTCTGGACTTTAGGAGGAACAATAAGGAGAGATAATATAAATGGAAACATTTAAAAGGAGACACAGGGGCATCTGAGGATGTCGGTACACAAATCTCGAAGATGACAGAACAAGGTTATCAAACTTCTGCAAAAGATCTGAATACCCTGACTTTATAACAAGAGGCATAGACTATAAACAAATTAGGAGTAGCCCACGCTACCATTCAGCAAGACCATGTCAGATCTGACTGTGGTCTTAATTCCTTATGTCCACCTTCTCTCCTTCCCCCACCAAAATGAGCCACACTACAAAAGGAAGCTATGTTAAGCATTTATAAACTATTGATTAGACCTCAATTGCTATATTGTGTTTAATTTTAATTACCAGCCTTTAGAAAAGATATCAAGGCCTTGAAGTGAATGCGGAGTTTACTTCAAAGTGTAAGGGAAGGTTTAACATTTTGAATGAGAGAAACCTTGCACTGGCAGGAGAGTCAGTAACCAGATGATACACTTCAAATAATTGGCAAAATAATCATATGGGGAGATTCTTCTTTAAATGCATCAAGGCGGAAGGATCAGAAATGCATTTGTTGAAAGGACAATTGAAGCAGATCGACTTTACCTTTTAAAAAGGAATTGTTACATACTTGAAATGACAAAATTTGAAGGGCTATGGGCAAAGGTTTACTCAGAGTCAGTGGAAACTTACATTTTCTAAACATTATCAATCCAGCTGGATCTCCTCAGAGGCAGCAAAAATACACTGTGAGCTAATGGTGGCAGCGGACTTTCATACATTTACAACTTAGTCCCGTGCAAACCTATCAGACAGAGGACAGCACTAAGTTTCTGGGTAAGCACCCACGTTAATCTAGAAACATGAACCTCACTTGCCCCAGTTCGTAGACTGGTTTACCCCTCAGGAGAAAGACTGTGCATGTGTTGAATGCGGAACAGTTGGTAGAATATGCATTATACTGAAAATCATTTTCATCTAAAATACTATTCAGATTCCTGATCCTGTTATAACTTTCCAACCCTGATAACGAACACAGATTGTGGTTCCATACAGTAAGAAACAGAAAACCAAGTTCAACTCCATCTTAAAAAGAACTGAGAAGTTTATTTCCAATCCAAGATCCAAAAATACTCATCCAAATATAGCACAGCAGTGGAAGAGTTGCAATACGATTTTCCAAACTCTTGTTATGATTTTAACATCAATTATGTCAAGAACGAGGTTAACACAGCCTTTACCAGTTCCAATCCTGAGCTGTCCAAATCAATATTAACATTCAGACTCACTATACAAATGGATCACTGATTTAAGTGATCATCTTACGAAGGGCAGACGTTTAGCTCTGTGCTGTAACATTGCTCAGCACAAGCCTTTTTAAGAGTAAAAGAGAGAGTGAAAATGTGCAAAGATCCTCTGGCCAATGTCATACATTTAAGATGCAATATTAAAGTATTAGGATTTCAGCAGAATTTGTGTTATGAGACACCATTAGAACTGTGAAAAGCACCCAGCAGCACAATTAGAAATTATGGTCTGTCTCTGAGTTACACAAAACACTGGTAGAGTTTTGAGGGATGCAATTCTGACACTAAAAATGGGTGTAAGTCTAACAATGACTTATGAAAGCTATAGGTAAACCATAAAGTACTACTAAACTATTGTGATTAATAGTGCCATGCCCTAGTAAATTTAAGGAAAAGGTATTCTGAGAGGTCCCACAATTATAGAAGGATTTCTTTGGCTGAAACCACATCATAAAACACATTTAAGTAATTGAGATAACAATGCCAAACTAAAATAATTTAGCAGGAAAGCTGACATAGCACAGCAGAGTGCTGTTACAGTGTGAGACACAATCCAAAATCTTCATTCCCACCCAAACCAGGAAATCTCCTAACTTGCAATCCGAGGAGTGTGGAATGTTTTTGATGCTGATCTTGTTCCCTGACCAAAGTCACAGCAAGCAAGA